AAGTTCTGGAAAAGTCACAAAGCCAAGGATGAATTTGGCTGTAGAAATGGATTTGTCTTCATCTTGTTACTCCAGTAAAGGCTGGTAAACTAGTAACTGATCACCACGGTCCTAACCTGAGAGCCTTAGAATTTCTTATACATTCCAGACTATAACATATAAAATGCCTGATTGGAGTCACATCTGCCTTGGCCCACTTCAGGTCCTTGAGAGTGTCAGACTCTGGGCCTGGCAACTGCCTGCAGTTGTGTGGAGTCAGCAGTGAGCATCACAGCAACACTAAGAGTGTTGGGGGGCGCACTTGGTCACCTGTGACTGCGAGGCTGTGCTGCTTGTTTGGCTTGCAGAGCAGCCCCCCGACGGCCTTCCTTTGGAAAATAATTCAGATATACTGCCTCTAAGGGGCCCAGCCTAACGGAAGGGAATGAAAACCAAAGCCTTGAAGAGGTACTGCCTGGCATCTCCATGGCCAAGTCACCCAATAAAGATTGAGGGCCTTAGGCCGCTGGCTTAGGCCTCTCTCATCATCCAGTGCTCAGGGCCTTAACCACTGGGCGGACACAAACCATAACATGGACAGGGGAGGGAAGTCTGGCCAAGCACATGCTGCCTGTCTACAGAGGCTACTGGGAGCACCGGGCTCCGAGCTTGTTCTCGGCCAGTGGGCACCAGTGCAAGCCAGCACCATGCAGCACCCAGGGCTCCACAGCCTTCCCCTTGTGGCTGTGTCTCTAGCCTCAAGTAGCTCCTGGCCCCTATGACAGGTCTTCGGGTTTACAGTATGTGCCTGGGAGCCAGGGGCACTCAGAATAAGAGAATAAAGAACAACTGGGAAAACCCTAGGAGTCAGTTATGTAGCTCTACAGATGGGGCGGAGGAAGTATCTTTTCTCACAGGGATGCTGTGAGGACCACAGCATAAGCATCCCACCTTCCTCAGCACTCTTTGGGCTGGCTGCCTGGCCCAGCTGGTCAAGCCAAAGCTGGTCAGTTTTTTTGTTTTTGTTTTTAATCGCTTCTTCTTTATCCCCTCCTTCAGACTGATTCTGCAAAGGAGAAGGGATTAGGACCAGAGAAAGATGTGTGTCAGGGTAGAATACAAATCCGAATAACAGTACAAAGTGCTTTAAAGAACAGATCCCACAGGCTTCAAGAAAGGCCAAGGGTTTTCTGCCTTACATAGGGTCTTGGCACCCTGGGAGGGGAACAGAAATGCCCAGCCCCCTCAGTATTAGACTTAAAACCATTCATTTCCTAGATTATTTAAAAAATATCAAACTCATCAAGCCTGTACTTAAACACCTTAAGAAAGAAGCCCCACCTTCTATTAAAAAGAAAACCACTTCCACAGCACTGGAAGCCACCTTTGCCCTAGAATGAATCCATTCCTCCAGGGCCTTAACTGCGATCTGCGGGGTACTAGCCCTTCACAGAGGAAAGGGGCTGAGCAAAGCGCCTGGGGGACAGTCTTAGCAGGAGGTGTGTAGGTCAGTCTGTTCACCCCAGAGCAGAAGCTCCCCGTGGGCAGGAAAGAGGCTAAGCAAGTGGGTCAGGACTCAGTCATCTGGAAATGTTCAGGGCAGCAAGACAAGGGACTTGGTCCCTCCCCTGCCCAGTCCCAGGTGGGACCTGTCAGGACTGTGGATGCTGGAGCAGAGACCCAGCCAGTAGCAGCAGGGGTGGCCACAGGACAGGAGACAGACCTGTGCCCGACTCGGGGTCTCGTCAGTCGCGGTGGGCAGACTGGTGGCCAAGCTGCCGGTCATCGTACGTGCTATAGCGCTTGACGTGGATGCGGCGCACACGGTCCCGCAGCTCAAAGGTCTCCTCGTCTTCACTGGGGGAAGCCTGGCTGCGGCTACGGCTCGTGGCCTCCAACAGGGAGTTGTCGGGGACTCGGGGGGTCTCATAGAGTAGGACATTGAGTGTCTCCTCATAGATTCGAGCCTCTGGGAACTCCACCTGGGTGAGGGGATAAGGAAACCCAGTGAGGTTTCTGCTCAGAGGGAGCCCAGCCCCATGGCACTGGCCCAGAGCTAACTTTCTCAGGACAGGTGGCTGGCTGTCCCCTGTGGGAAGTGCAAGAGGACACCCTCATGACCCTGGTCCAAGTCCTACACACTGGCATCACAGGCGGTGGCTGCAGCTGGGTGGCAGGCCTGGGTACAGACAGAGCTGCCCTAACTCACTGTGGGCCCTCGGCATGACCTCGTCGCTCAGTGGTGCAGTTTCCGTACACAGTGACAGGATCCCTCTCTGAGCAGTGCTGTCAGCATCACATGGGGCATGTGAGCTGCCCAGCAGAGCCAGACCAAGCACAGTCCTAATGCAGCTGCTCTGAGCAGGAGTGCCATGGCTTTATAGCACGGCTTGTCCAGCCCAGCGCACCCACCCTCATGGTCCTTCTGGAGGAAACAAAAGGGATGGTGAGCTGGCTCCACACTTCAGTAAGTCCTGTCCCACTGACTTTTCCTCTCCTATCAAAGGGGGAGAATGGCTCTGGCCCTGCCCATCTCAGGAATTCAGGAAGGAAAACACTAAGGAAGGTGATGGTCCTGCTGCTGCTTCCACAGCTAGACTGCCCCATGGAGACCCTCCAACCCTGACTGCAAAGGTACAGCCAGGGGCCATCCAAGCTAACCGTCACCTCCCATTCCCACCCTCACTGCCAAGAGTTGCAGGAAGAAGCAGGGCCACCTCCTGTATGTCCTCCCCTGACCCATGGCAGACAATCCAGCTGGAGGCACCTCAGTAGTCTGGACGCCTTCACACCCAGGTGACTTCCTGGGCTGCACTGCGGTCCCACCCCAGCACAGCCCTGCCTTCTCAGGGAACGCTCATGAGAGGCACTTGCCCTTTGGGGAACACGCGTCCTGCCAACAGGCTGTGACCAAGAGATTAGGGAGTTTGTGTAACTGTCACCTCTCAAAGGCCTCGGTGTGCTTGTGTTGTGCTGACTGCGGTTAAGTTGACTGACCAGAAACACCCAAGCAGAGGGTCGGAGAGGAGAAGTGAACAGCATCCTTCCTAACTCGAAAGCCAAACTCTCCCCACTATGCCACACCTCTTCAGAGCCGCCTCACTTTCATGCCATCGCTGTTAAACTCATACTCTCGCTCCTGTTTGTAAATGGGGAAACAACCCCAGTGGTTGAAAGGCTCACGCAAAGTCAGAATTTAAACCGTAACAGGGTCAATTTCAAAGACTGGTTCTCTCCCCATACCAGGCTGTTCCCTGCTGGTCGTGGCCACTGACCCTCAGCTGATAGGAGCAAATGGTCCAGTCCATTCCTGAGGCCCCTTGCTCTGCCACCATCACCGAGTGCCTGGGCAGGGGTTGAACACATGGCTCCTGGCTCTCCATGGTAAAAGGCATCATAGCTGCACTGGCTCTGCTCTCCTGCCCCACCACAGCCAGGAAGGGTCCCGCTCCCATGTGAAGGGTAGCCCCTGCACCTTGGTCTGCTTCTTCTCCGTGGCATACACGATGGAGGTGCAGCACACCTCCGCCAGCTTCCGGCCCTGGCCGTAGAAGGACCAGCAGCAGATCTCGTCGCCAATGACGTCCTTGATGAAGAGCACGCGGCCGTTGAAGCGCAGAGAGAGCTTGTCAAAAAGCTCGATGTTTTTTAGCAGGTGGTCGTCAGAGTTGCTGAAAACCCACAAGGAGGATGCTGGGGTGAGCTGAGTCCTCCCTTACCCTCTCCTGCCCTGCTTTCAGACGAACAGGCTAGAGAGGGCCTATGACTGCATAAATAATGAAAAATAAGTATGCCTTCCAGATACTGCAAATTCCTAAAATGGTAATTAACTAATATTTTCTTTGCTCACCCCTGCTTCACACGTCCTCTGACATTTATATGCATCCTCTTGGTCTCCCCACTTCTGATTCCAACCTCAACAGTAAAATCCCTCCCTAGGGCAATAGACAGTGATGAAACCTGAGAAGCAGCAGGCTCAGATGGCTCTTCACATTCTCCATAGCTGATTTGCACTCTCCTTCTTCCTACCTTCCATCAGAGACATCACAGGGGAAAAAACATGCACCCATACCATAAGACATTCACAATCTGATTTATTCAAGTATAATACTCTGCCTGCTTTTTGGTTGTCCATCAGTTTTATTGCTTATTTGGCAAGGAATACATTGACCTGTAATTACCATCATAGGAATCACTTATTAACTACCTTGTTCATACCATCGTCCTTACAACAACCTTGTGAGGTATCGTCAGCCCCATTTTAGAGAAGACCAAAACTGAAGCTGAAAGGTAAGTAGCTCACACAATGTTACAAGCTTCGTAAGGGTCAGCTTGAGATTTCAAAGAACTTGCTTGCTATCACCAGGCTTGCTGTGGGGGTTGCCAGGAGATTTGGATTTATCCTGACTTTCAATCCACAGCTTCTATTCAAATCAGATGTAACTATGCCTTTCTTAAGAAAGACATTCAAATCCCATTAAATAGTAACAGACCAAAAGCAAGACCCAACCCACTGGGCTCAGGGTCCTGAGATGAAAAGGAACTGAGCTGGTGTGAAGTTAAAGCAGAGAACTGAGGGGAGGAGGTCTCTTTTTCTTAAGGCAGAAAGAAGGTCACTGCTCTTGCAGCGGGAGACACTTAAGCCTTCCCTTGCTGTGGGGGTGACACTGGCAATGTGCCTGCCCACAGAGAGTTGGGGTGCATGGGGGACTCTGAGCCTGCAGCCACCTGAGTACCCCTAACAGGGGCCTGCCGAGAGCAAAGAGTGACAGGGAATGAGCCCAACGTGAGGTATGAAGGCTGGCCTGAGGCTCCCTGGGCGCTGGCTTCCTGGTATCCCACCTCCGCTCCTAAGGCCAAGAGTGTGCAAACACACGGTCCACTGCTTGACATGACACATGTTAAGGGCACATTTCACATGTGATTGTTCATATCCTGGCATGAGCCCTATTCCAAGTCCCACATGCCTCTGCTCTGGCTTCCCCGTTTTGTTTAGTTCTGCCCTGCAGAAAGCCAGTCCTGAGTCCCAGACCTTTGCCAGCTGTGCCAGGAACACAGCTGGCTTCCCTTGGGTCTGCTGCCTTGTCTACTCTGGCTGCTCAACCTCCTGCCCCTTGTCCCCCAGGCTTTGTGTAAGACAGGGTCTTGCTATGTCATGATCTTCTACTTCAGCCTCCTAGCTGGGACCACGGAAATGTGCCACCAGGCCTGGCTCTTTGACAGGGTCTTGCTATGTGGCCCAGGCCAGACTCAAACTCGTGATCCTCCTACTTCAACCTTCCCAGGTCGCAGGGATTACAGGCACACCTGCTGCACCTGGCCTTCAGACTGGACCAAGGGGGCCTCTCACGTGGGCCTGTGCAGCACAGCATCTTAGCAGCCGGGCCCGTCCCCACGCCCCCGACATGAACACCCCCTACCTGGTGTAGGAATACTTGTTGTTGCTTCTATTGTACAGCAGCTTCACCACGGGCTGCGAGGGAGGAGGAGGTGAGGACCGAGCCTGCGGCCTGGGATCCCCTGCCCGCAGCCCTCAGGCCCCAGTACCTTGGTGGAGGACTCGATGAGCCGTTCCTCCTCCTTCAGGGATGTGATAACGGGGATGTTGCACACAGGCTGGTAGGAGTCCTTCTTGTCCTGGGTGGCAACAGAGCAGAGAATTGTCTGGAAGCTTCTGCTTGCCAGGCTCACCCCGGTACCCCGGGAGCCATCAGGGCTCCTCTGCTATGGCCACCCCCTGCTTGGTGACGAGGCATCAGACAGAGATCACGAGACTTCTGACAAAAGAAGCTGCCAGCTGGTGAGCAGAAACCTAAAATCCACGGGCTGGTCCTTGAGCCCAGCGGTTAAGGGAGCCAGATCCTACATGACCCTGTGAACTTGAGAAACACATGCTCCAAACTGCGAGGATGGAGGAATGGATAGGAGCTGTGATGTAACCAAGTCCCACTGCTTTCTCCCTCTGTGTCTCTCTCTGACAAGTGCATGTACACTGTGGCAATCGGAAGAAAGAAAGCCAGCCCTAGAATATGGACATTTGGGCATATAAACCAGAAGCAGCCTGTTCACACTGCCAAGAATACATGCCAGCCTGCCGGTCTAGGCTGTACCTCACTCTAGGTCAGCCACAAAACCCGCCAGCAACCAGCCCCTGTGTCCGGGAAGGAGGGCTGCCATGCTCAGCCCTATCCACCCACCCCAACCCTGCCCTGGTACCTGCAGGGCAGTCTGGCACATGTTCACCAGCCCCTGAATGAGGTAATATTTGGCTTCAGCCATCAATTCCTTGATTTCTTGCCGGTTTTGAGGGAGGGTGATGGTGTCGTCTCGGAGGTAATTCAGAATGGTGCCAAAGTGCTTTCCACATCGGTCTATGAGGATCCAGCCTAGAGATTCAGATGGGCCCCACAGAATTACTGATGGCCCCTGGGGACCTCCAAAGCAGGCACAGACCCTCTGACCAACTGCTAGGGAACTACCTGAATACAGAGCCCATGGCTCAGGGTGACAGAAGTGGGTATGGGAATGGGAGTGCTCTCAGGCCCACGCTACTGTCCACTCCTCCTCCCTGACACCAAGAGCTGACACATGCCATTGGGGAGATGGCCCTCCAGGCTTTGTGGAAACCCAAGCTCCGGGGCACTCAGGCCCAGTCCTGGCAACATGCCACCAGTCCTATCTTAGCTGAGGCTTCTGAAAGCATGGCTCTTCTTGGCAAGTGCATACACACACAGACACCATTCATGTACAATGTCAAAGAATTTCAAAGCACTACTGAGGACTCCAAGTGAAGAGGAAAAGTCAATCTGGATTCTAGACCTCTTGGGCCGAGTGTTGCCCAGAAGTCACTTCCTTGGGAGCTCCTCCTTCCTTCCCTACCCTGCCTGATACGGCCCCATGCCTCACCTTCTTTGTCGGTCAGCACCTCCATGCGCCCACTGAACATGGCCTTGAGCATGGTGTCATGGCGGGTGAGTGCACGCACGGTGGTGTAGTACAGGGAGCCGCCCACGTTGAGCTGGACGTACTTGTTGCCCAGCCCTCCTCCCTTGAAGCCGCTTAGCTTGGGCTTGGCCCCTGAGGCTGGGCACAGACAGGTATCCCCCGACATCTCCCGCTGCAGGTAGATCACCACACGGCAGGAGGTAGGCTTGGAAGGCTCCGCCGTGGTGGAAGTGGTCACGAGAGAGTAGCCAGCAGAGGCCAGGGCCTCATACTCTCGGTGCTGTGAGTAGGAGATGGGAGAGAACACAGGTTAAGCAGGAGCCCCAGGTAACTGGCCAGTGGTGCAGGGGTAATGCAATGCTCTGTGATGCTGGACCCCCAGGTCGCCGGCTGGTGTCCTAAGGCCTCCCCATACATGCCGAGGCATGCGTGTGCCTGTATCCGGCCTGGCTAAGGCTGGAGGTGGACTGCAGCATGAGGACTCTGTTGGGGTACATTTCTTTCTCTCTCTCATGGAAGAAGTAAATAACACAAACTTACACAACCCAAGCCAGGAGGGGACGATGACTAGTCATCCTCTCCTTGATAAGCCCCAGCACTCCCTGGCAGAAGCTAAGTCCTGAGGCAACAGAAAGAAGAGGCTTCTCGCTCTTGTTCATTGTACCAGGAATCGGGTCACTTACTGCCAGTCACCTCTCTGGCCTCCCTGAGACTCAGCTCAGCTCTGGGCCACAAGGAAGAGAAGCGAACTCTTGGAACTAGTCAGAGAGGACCGAGGAACTGGCTGTACTGGGGCCCTACCAGTCAGATTCCAGTTATTTCCATCTTAAGGTTCTCCAGCTAAACCTATTGGGAATCCAGCCAGCCTAGGAGTTTCCCAGGAGCCAGGGGAACGGATGCACTTCCTTCCTAAAGGTCCCAGACTCGGAGGCAGTCTGAGCTGGAGTCTGGTTTCAGGAAGGCAAAAAGTGGCTTCGGGAGAGAATGGAGTGAGGGTGGAGGGAGCCAGCCACCAACGTTCTTGGCAGAAGTTACCTGAGTGCCAGCTGGGGTGGCCTGACCTTCCAGGTACCGGCCTTGCCCCCGGTTCCCAAAATTGTCACCATTTTTCTGGGTAGAACAACTACAGGATGGCTATTTTTACTTCTTTTTTCCTGAGAAGGAGCCCAGCCCTCTATCTTTTTCTCTTCCCTCCCAACAAGAATGGGGAGAAAAGACTGGAAGAGACCAGGAAGTAAATCTAAAAATAATGAAATGATTTAGGAATCGAAACACTAACAGATCACAGGAGGGAGGCGCAGGGAAAGCAAAGCTAGGCCATCCCTAGGAATTTAGATTCTGTTATTTTTTTATTTTTTTAGAGGTTTTTGCTATAGGGTGTGTGCATTCGACAGAGAGACAGAGGGACAGAAAGCAAGAAATCACCCCCCAGGGGGATGGCCACACCGCAATCCCTTCTCCATTCTCCTCTTGGAATCTTGGACACGCATGCACATGCACCCAGTGTGAGTTTAAGCCACCGGGTCCGGGACTTGAACCACAGTTGATTACATGTGAGTCCAGCAACATAGCCATTATGCCAAAGTGCTGGTCCCTGTTTTGGTTTTTTAAAGAATCGCTAAGGTGGCATAGTGGTTACAGGGCTGGACTCCCACATGGCCAACAACAGCTTGAGTCCAGGACCTGGTGGCTTAAAAATCACACTGGAAACTTGTGCACTTGTGCCCAAGATCCTAGGAGGAGAATGGAAGAGAAGGGATTACAGTGTGGCCATCTTCCCCGGGGAGTGATTTCTCACTTTCCCTGTCTTTCTGGTGAGCACATACAAAAACTAAAGGAATCACTAATCCTGGTTGATTGATTTTAATTTGCCAGAGGGCATGTGTGCAAGACAGAGAGTGAAAGAAAGTGAGATAGCACTCTCATTGGAGGATGCCACAATCTCTTCTCCTCTGTTTCTCCTCTCAGGATTTTGGGCACGCTCGCACATGTGCCTGACATGTTTTTCAAGCTGCTGGGTCTAGATCTCAAACCGTGCAGTCAGTCACAATGGATTAGGAGCCATAACCATCATACCATGGGCTGGCTCCACTGAGATTTATTCAATGAGGAGAAAACATGATAGTTAGTATTCATTGCATGTTTACTATGTGCTGGTTATAGATACTACACTTGCCATTTAGTATACATTAGCCCATTGGCCTTGGGCTAGCAGGTGGTGTGGAGGTTAAGGCAGCTGGATCTTACATGGCTGAATACATGGTTTGAGTCCTAGACCTGGCAGCCTGAAATTCACACCGAGGACGTGTAATGGAGGAGAAGGAATTATGGTGTGGTCATCCCCCCCTGGGAGGGTAATTGCTCACTTTCTTTCTCTCGAAAGAGCACATAACCCCTATGACAAATGAAAAAAAAAAAAAGATATTGTCCTTCTTTTCAAGGAGTTCAAAGAGGCATCACAAATGGAAATAAGAAATAAAAAACAAAATACAGGTTAGCCTGTGGCCTGGTGGTTAAGGCGGCTGGATCCCACATGGTTGACTGTGTGGCTTAAGTCCTGAACCTGGCTGTTTGAAAACATACCAGATGAGTGAGTGCGGACGCCCCAAATCCTGAAAAGGAGGGAGACGTGAAGTAGGGATCATGGTGTGACCACCTGCCATGGAGAGAGCTTTCTTGCTTTCTCTCTGTCTCTCTCCAGTGAGTACATGCACCCTCTGACAACATTTTAAAACAAAAAACAAAGTCCAGTTTGGTGGTTCAGTCCATAGCATACTGAGCTGTGGTACTGCGAGCCACATAGTCAACCTCAGGATCAGATCCCCATGTCAGCTTGGAAGCATGTTGGGTTCACAGCACACACAGGTGCCAACCGCTGGTCCCAACCCAGCATGTTTTCAAGCCTACTGGGGATCCCAGACTACAACTGGTCAAGTGGTTTCTAGCCCTGCAGTTCACTGAGTCCTCGTTTAGATAGAATTACAGGAAAAGCCTCTTTGGAAAGTGACATTTCAGCTGAGGTTTGAGAAGAATGTTCTAAACAGATGAAACAGTAAGTACAACGCCGCAGCTGGAAAGAAGTTTTAACACAAATAAGGTCCTGATGGCTGGTGCACAGAAAGCAGAGGGAAGTTAGTTTAATATTAAGTGTGTGGGGGGAGGGGCCAGCAGTTGGCGTAATGGCTATGTCACTGGACTCCCATGTAGTAGACCACGGTTCGAGTCCCAGGCCCGGTAGCTTAAACTCACGCTGGACACGTACGTGTGCGTGTGTGCCCAAGATTCTGAGAGGAGAAGGGATTGCGGTGTGGCCATCCCTCCTGGTGGGTGATTTCTTGCTCTCTGTCTCTCTGGCAAGTGCACATGACCTATAACAAAAACCTCTTCAAAAAAATTAAGTGTCAGGGAAGACAGCTGCTAGATAATATTAAAGAAGATTTTATATGCATTACAATATAGTGTAGGAATTGACTAGAGGGCTTTAAGCAGGGGAGTGATACAATAGGGTAATTTATATTTTGAGAAGACAATTCTGGATGTTGGGAATGGACTGTAAAGATGCCAGAGAGGAAGTGGGAAAACCAAAGAAAGCAGCTGTCAAAAGAGGAGGAAGGCTTAGCTGCAGCGGTAGTAACAGCCACAGAAAAAAGTGGAACTGGGTCACTTAATCCCCGAAACACACAGGAGCTCACAGTCGATCATCTCACAAGTGCAGCCCAGAAACAGGCCACTGGTTTTCTCAGTTCCACCGTTCCACTCCCCAAACAGTGCTTAGCACAGCGCCACATACATTTTAGCTATTTAACACGCCAGCTTGTTAGACCAAAATTGTGCCTGAAAAGATTTAGATAAGAGGACCAGGGGAACCAGCAGTTAGCGTAATGGCTATGTCGCTGGACTCCCACGTAGTCGACCGCGGTTCGTGTCCCGGACCCGGTGGCTTAAAACTCACGCCGGGCGCGTGTGCGTGCGTGCCCAAGATCCCGAGAGGAGAATGGAGGAGAAGGGATTGCGGCGTGACCATCCCCCCTGGGGGGGTGATTTCTCGCTTTCTGTCTCTATGTCTCTCTCTGTCTGTCTGGCGAGCGCACGCGCCCTACAGTGAAAATCTCTCCAAAAAAAAAAAGAGGACCAGCAGGTGGCATGCCGGTCCAGGCGGCGCCAATGAGGAATCAAGCCCCAGACCTGCTTTTTCACTTTCCCTCCCTCTTTCTGTCTCTCTCTGGTGAGTGCGCATGTCCTGTAGCAAATTAGAAAATAATAATGATAAATACAATGAAATAATAAAAAAATCTGTTTAAAAGAAAAATATTTAGATAAGACCCTGGGAAGAATGCCTACGAAAAGGCCAGACAGGGTGCTGTGTGAAGCAGTGAATCCTCTCGGTGGCTGGTCCAGGAGACCATTTGCTTCAGGGCAGAGGTATGGATGCCTTGAGGCCTCACCGGGAGCTGGCCCAATGAGTAAGTAACACTAGAATGAACGGTATGAGGTCACCTTACCCTCCACCGCCCACCCCAAAAGAAGAAATCCACTCAACAAGTTTTAGCAAGTTCCCTAGGAACTTTGTCGCTAGTCCCAATTTTCCCAGAATCAAAGAAAGCACATATACAGGTTTTGCCAAACCGAAGGAACTCAGAGGCTAGGCTTGCCAAGAGAGGAAGACAAATCCAGAGCTAATCTACCCCTTTCCTACAAAGCAACTGCTTTGAGCTCCTGGGTGAGGTCAGGGCAGATTCCGCACAGACCAATGGTTCCAGGAACCCTGCGGCAGGTGACGCCCCAGAAAGTAATTCCAATGAGAATGAAGTTTCCACTGATAGCCTCAACCCGCTTCCTTCCGGACTTTGTGTGTGGTTATTCGGGGATGCCTGGGGCTAGGGGCGGACCCACGTCTCTCAGCAAAGTTAATGGGAACCCAAGCAGAACAAAAGATAGACAACAGTAGCGGTGGGAGGAGGTGGGGTCCTAAGAGAAGGACCCAGAAATCCCTCACACGCGGGGTAAATCCGTCCACGGGGGATGGCGGGGCGAGGTGGAGTGGGTAAAGCTGATCTTGGCTAGAGCGGGCGGGTCTATAAGAAATCCCGGGTGTAAAAGCTTAGGCTTCTTCCAAAGGGTCCTGGGAAAATTTAGTAACATCAGCCTCTCTCGCGGCCAGGACAAGCTTTTCCCCAGCCCGCATCTGTCCTCATCGAAAATCCCAGATCGGCTCTGACCCCAGTGCAGAATCTGGGCGGGGGTTTGGGGGTGTCTTCCTCCATCGGCCCTACACCGCCCCGCGCCTTTCCCCCAGCACCAGGCGGAGCTGCTTTTGCTCCACCCGGGGCCCGTCCATCCCTCCCTCTAGGGCAGCGGCAGGCCTGGTTCTCACCGTCTCTTGGAGGCGATCTCCTCTCAGCCGGGTGGCAAGCAGACCCCGGGCAGTTCCCGCCTGCGGCTGCCTGCCCGCCAGCAGTCGAGGGTTCTGAGCTCACATCCCGCGTCCGCGCACTCCGCCCGGAGCCGCGGCCCAGCCTTGCCGGCCCGGAGCCAGAAACTACAAGGCCCGGCATGCCCAGCACCTGATCGAGGCGGAGTCTGACTCCCCGGAGAGTTTTCCGCCGGAAGTGCACAGCTACTTCCGGCCGGCTTGCTGGCACAAAGGCCTCTGGGTTTTGTAGGCAATCATTCTTTCCTTCGGGCTCCTGTTTCCCAGCAGTCTCTGTGGGAGGGCGGGCGTAAATGCTTCCGGTGTCAGGTAGTGACGTTAGGGGTAAACAAGCCTTGTAGCCGTGGCAGCGGCCGAGGCGGGCACCGGCTGTCGCCGACCGGATAGAGAAGCTGCTTGCGGACATTAGCCTGGGGCACAGCGCGCCGCCGCCACCGGGCAGGTAGGTAGGCCGCGACTTTGGGTCGGGGATGCGGGCCGTCCCGGGACGAGAGGAACCTGATAGGCTCGCGCCCTGAAGAAAGGCAGACCGAGGCCAAAAGAAACGTGGGAATTCCTCCCTCCTCTCGGGGAGCGGCTTTACACGGAGCCTAGGCTCTGGGCTTGATCGGCGCTCTCAACGATCTTGTGGGGGGACTGCAGCTCGGACGAGTTCGAGGGGTGTACTTAGTAAAGACAGAGCCAGTCCCCTCGCCCTGCCCTGCCTAGCTTTCTGCCTGCTGCCCCTTCCACACCCTCTGGATGGAGCCCCCTGGCAGTGCCTCGCCTGGATCTGGGCGCGCCAGGGGCGAAAGCATGTGACAGCGCATCCTCCGGGAGCTCAGTGCCGGCCCTGGGGCGCTGTGTTCTTCAGGTGCTCATACAACTGTGAACTCTCCCTACACACCTTCTCCCATCTTACTCACCTCTTTAAACTGTCCCTCCCAGTCGTACGTTTGGCCCAAGCCAGTTGTATGGAGATCTCGCCTGACTCATCCCATACTCGCTTCAGTCACTCCGTTACTAGGTCTTACCGCCTCGACTTGCAAAACAGCTTAACTTGGAACACTTGTGTTCAGCTGCAAGCCTTGGTTCCTGCAGTAGCCTGTCTGTTTCCATAGTCAGCCGTTGGGCAGACATTTACTGAGCGCCAGTTATGAGCAGGCACCCTGCTAGGTGCTAGGATGGCAGTGATCCACCAGGTAGGTGTGGCGGCACCCTCTCCTTTCTTCCAGTCCGTTCTTCTGGCAGAGCCCGAGATCTTTCTAAATCTGATGTTGTCACTCAGCCGAGGATCCAGTGGCTTCCCAGTTTTTGAACAATAAAATCCAAGTCTGTTACTGTGGCTTCGCAGCCCTCCACCACCTCCCTAGCTCTAGCTCCGCTATCTAGCTTCATCCTGTCCCACCTTCTCTCTTGCCCAGTTTGGTCACATTGCCCCAGGATCTTCACACATGCCTTCTGCCTGAAATGCCTCCCGTCCTCCCTGACAAATTTTTGGACACCTTTAGATTTCATTTTAGGCGTCATTTTTTCCCGAAGGCTTTGACAATTCCCTCCACCCCCGTGGATTGTGTCCCCCTGCCACATCTTCACGTGGTACCGTGCACTCTTCCTCATACTGTGATCACAGTTTGTCATTGTTTACTGTCTGTCGAGAGGCGTGGTGTTCACTCTTGTCCCCAGAGCAGGGGCTCAATAGATGTTTCTGGATAAATGCGTGCTCTCTTGGGTAAGAGAGTGGAGGTTAACACTTTTGTATTACTTGAATCTTTGTGGAGCAGCAGGTCTGATTAATCACCTAGTAGTTGGTAAATACTCAGACTACTGGTGCTAGCAGATGGTGTAATGGTTATACCACTGGACTTTCACGTGGTCGACGACGGTTTGAGTCCCAGACCCGGGGGTTAAAACTTACTCTTGGTGCACGTGTGCCCAAAATCCTGAGAAAAGAGATTGTGCTGTAGCCATCCCCCCCGGGGGGTAATTTTTCGCTTTCTGTCTGGCGAGCATATGCACTCTATAGCTAAAATCACTCAAAAAAACAAAGAGACAAACCAAAAATACTCAGACTGTATGTGTGAGCAGAGCAACAAGCAGGAAGACAGATCTTTTTAAAAAGTCTGGTTATAAGGCAGCTGTGTGCTCGACAGAGACAGGGAGAGAGGGAAAGTGAGAAATCCTCCCCTGGGATGGATGTCATGCTGCAGTCCCTGCTCCTTTATTCTCCTCCCTGGGTTTCAGGCATGCTCACACAAGCACCCAGCATGTTTTTCAAGTCACCAAACCACACGGGACTCAAACCACACGGTCGGCCATGTGGTATCTAGCCACCCTAACCACCTTCCCTTGGCTAGCGCACTTACTTCAGTAGATCCAGGGAAACTAAAGGCCAGGTTCATACACAGCCCACAGACCTGCGTTAGTTGGCTCACACCACGCTGGATGTGTGTGTATTTTAAGTTTTTAAATTAGATGCTAGTATTTAGGTAATCAGATTTCTGGTCCTCTTGAAAATCAGAAGTTCTGACAACAGTGGGGCCTAATTCTTTTTCAACCATCTGCCCTGGGTATTCCCTCTCAGAACCACATGATCCTCTTGGGGCAGCCAGTGGTATGGTGGTGGTTGAGGTGGCCGGATCCCACATGGCCGGCTATGTAGTTCAAGTCCCTGACACGGCAACTTGAGAAACACACTGTGTGTGTGTGCATGCACGTGTGCCCCAAAATCCCTAAATGAAAAGTGGAGAAGAGATTGTGGCATGTCCATCCCCCTTGGAGAGGTGGTTTCTGACTTCTGTTTTTCTCCATCTCCCTCTGGCAAGCACATGTGCCTTCTAACAAATTTAAAAAAAAGAAAAGAAAGAAAAGAACTCTAAGGAAGATGGAAGGGAAACAGTTGAGGCAGAGGAGGTGGGAGCAGAGGGAAGGGGCTGGTGTGGGGACAGTTGATGGTGGCCTTTGGGACACCTGGGTTTGGGAATTGCCAAGGTAGCTAGAAGCTAGATCTAAGTAGCATTAGCTCCCTCTGCCCCTTTATTTTCTAAAATTTTACCAGAGGTGCCCACTGTGTTTTTCAAACTGCTGGGTCTGGGACTCAAACCACGTGGTCAGCCATGTGGGTGTTAGCTGCCTTAGCCACCACACTGAGCTGGCCCCAGCCCTCTTTTTAAACAGGGCATGCACTGTTTTCTTCCTTCCTTTCCTTTTTGCCAGAACGAGGATGAGTTTTCAGTGTATGTTTCCCGGAATCGAGGCAGTCTTTAGACCAGAAAGGCACAGTATCCCGGGAAGGGAGATGGTATCTTTGTTGGTTCTCTGTTGCCTACAGAAGGAAAAAAAGTCCAAACTCAGCTTGGCACACAGGATCTTCCTGGTCTGGCTCCAGTCCACTCTTCAGCCCCATCCTCTTTCCTTTCATCCTGTAGGCAAGATAGACCCTTACCATGACTTGAGACCTTTGTCCATGCTGTTTTCGCTGCTGCGAATGTCTTCCCCTGCCTCCTAACTTGGAACGTTCCTGCTGCTACTTCATTTCTTTTTGTGTTTTCTGCTAGAGACTGACTTAACTTTGGTCCCTACTCAGGCCATTGTACAGTATCCTGTAGCATACCTTTTGGGTAATATTCTTATTACTGGCTTATTTTTTACCCTAATTTTTAATTCACTCAGGTTTATTTTTCTATTAACTTTTTTTAAATAAAAAAAACTTTCTTCTTTCTTTCCTTTTTTTTTTTTCTCTCTCTCTCTTTCTCCCCCCCTTCCTCTCTCCCTCCCTCCCTCTCTCTCTCCCTTCCTCCCTTTTCTGTTTGACCAGAGAGGGACAGAGTGAGACAGAGAAAGTGAGAAAGCAAGCTGTCAGGTCTGGGACTTGAACCACAGTCAGCCATGTGGGAGTCCAGTGCCCTTAACCACCATGCCTCCTGCTGGCCCCCTCTATTCACTTTTTATGTCCTTCCATTACATATGTGTGCAAAGCCTTTTTGTGTCCTTTTGGGTACATACTGGGGGCATAGAAACATGCTTATGGCTCACTGCTTAGTTCAGCTGTCACTCCCTCATCCCAAGTCACCTGCTCTGTCCTCCTGCCGCTGTTTCGTGATTAATTCTGTAAAAGCACTTAACACAGTCTAACTTTTCAGTCTCCTTGTCTGTCTTCCTCCAGCTGCACTCCGTGCCTTCCAGGGCGGGCACCGCGTCACACTCATCTTTGCACCCCCAGCATCTAGCAGTGTTGTCATGCAGTAGGCACTCAAGAAATGTGTGTTGAATGAACAATGCCTGTGACAAGCAACCGGACTTTATTCTTTCCTGACCCTTGCTCCTATGACACACCTCCTCCTGACTGCCACTGTCACTCCTTCAGAGCACAACTTCTCTAGGGAACCTGGAAGGGAAACAGGTGAGGCTCAAAGAGGTGGAGGCAAAGGGCCAGGGGAGCCTTTGGCACATGTGGGTTTATGTCACTGGTGTCTGGGGGCAGGAGCGGGGCTGCACTGGAAGCAGGCATTTCCTTGGGTGGCTTAGAAGTTACTGGGATTGGGGACCAGCAGTTAGTGTAATGGCTATGTCACTGAACTCCCATGTAGCTGACGGCAGTTTGAGTCCTGGACCAGTGGCTTAAACTCACGCCAGGCGCGTGTGCGTGTGTGCCCAAGATCCCGAGAGGAGAATGGAGGAGAAGGGATTGCGGTGTGGCCATCCCCCCTGGGGGGTGATTTCTTGCTTTCTGTCTGTCTGTCTCTGCCTTTCTGGCGAGTGCACGCACCCTATAGCAAAAACCTATCCAAAAAAAAAAAAACAAGTTACGGGGATTGGGGCTGGTTTCTTTGTAGTTATGGCCAAGGACATCCTGGGTGAAGCAGGGCTGCACTTTGATGAGCTGAACAAGCTGCGGGTGTTGGACCCAGAGGTTACCCAGCAGACCATAGAGCTCAAGGAAGAGTGCAAGGACTTTGTGGACAGTGAGTATCACCGGGGGCCCCTGCTGCCTCTCAGCTTGGAGCCCTTCCAACTCTTCCCTGCCCAACTGCAGCTCTCGGCTGTGTCTGAGTGGAGCTGTTGGCTCCCTGGAAGTGGAGGCTGGTTCCTGTGAATTCCCACACTGCACACCTTGTTTAACTGTTGTTACCATGTCAAGTAGTCCCACAGAGCACCTTTCAAATCAAACAGTGGAATGGGAGGGGAGGGTACTTGTCGATACGCCATCTTTGTATTTTGTCCTCAGAAACCTTAAACTTCATAGAGGCAGAACCATGGCTTGGGGGTGGGAAATAGAATTATGTATTCGTGATTTGATTTCTTGTGAGGAAGAGAGTACTCAGTGGTGGGCTCTCCATTATTTGCAGCTAGAAGTGATTACTCTAGAAGCTCAACCCTTACTGAAGTCATCTTTTGGTTAGCCCTTTCCAGGGAGCTTCTTGTCCTAGCACTAAGCAAGCCCAGTGGCCATTGCCACAGAGCTGGGATCTAGCTAGAGCAAGGCATTTTGGAGCTTTCTGGGCCTCCCAGGCTGTGGACAGAGCTTGCCTGGTGAAAAGTAGTTTGGCTTCTGTTACCCATCTTCTCTGATGGCCATGTGCATGTTGTCCCACCTCTTTTGTCTTTAGTTTCCACTCCGTAAAATGGGGTTCCATCACACCAAGGACATGTAAAAAAAAGTGATGGGTGTTTAGGCATTTAAATGCGGTGAGCTTTTTTTACCCTGATTTCAGGTGGAAGCCCAGCCCCGCCCTCAAGCACTGAAATCTAGTGTGGTATGTGTGCTAGTCTGGAGGCAGCAGTCATGTCCTGTGGTTGTCCTCTAAACAGTGACTTGTCACTAGTAAGTAGCAGATTGGGGTCCATCTGAGGATGGGCCCAGCAGGGGCCTGCTGTTTTCATAGCCTGTGGTAATGGCAGCTGGTTGGCTCAGTGGGGACTCAAGGTCCTGTCCTGGGCTTGTGGCCACCCTCCTGACAGATCATGGGTGGGAGATTTAGGCCAACAGGTACTAAGTTGTTTTGACACAAATTAGAAGAGACAGCCCTGCTCTCTCACTGCCTCAGGAGAGTGCTGATGCTGAGTTTTTTGTTCTTTCCCCAAAAGAAATTGGCCAGTTTCAGAAAATAGTTGGTGGTTTAATTGAGCTTGTTGACCAACTTGCAAAAGAAGCAGAAAATGAGAAGATGAAGGTAAGATCAGCATGTCTTCTGCCTGTGTCTCAGCCTGGCACCCTGGCTCACTAGCCTCTCATGCTTCTACCCTCTTTTTTTGCAAGGGGAAGGGGTGGGGTGTGGAGTTGGATGAGTTCTTCTGTTTATTAAAATCTGTGATAACAATTGCTGGTTTAGTTAACCTGCTGAATGCTAGTGTGTGTTGTCATTATTTCCTTTCATCGTCACAGCAGCACTGAGACATAGGTGGTTATATCTTCACTGTATAAACAAAAAAATGGGGCCTGCTCCAAGGCCTGGTGGTTAGGGGAGCTAGATCCCATATGGCTGACTGTGCAGTTAAATCCTAGATCCAGTGGCTTGCAAAACATACTGGGCACATGTGCAGTCCCCAAATCTCGAAAGGATGGAACAGGGATTGTGGTGTGACCACATCTCACTGAGGGGTGATTTCTCATCTTTTTACCTTTCTATGTCTCCCACTGGCAAGTGTATGTCCCCTATGGCAATTAAAAAAAAAAAAAAAAAGCAAAGCTGCTGGGCCCAGCAAGTGGCGTGGTGTTTAAGGTACTGGGCTCTGTACCAGACCTGACCACTTGCTTTCTCATTCTGTTTTCTCTGGTGAGCAAATGTACTCCATAGCAAAGTAAAAAAAAAAAAAAAAAAAAGCTGTTATAAACAAAACGTGATGGCTTGTATGGTATAGGTAACGGGAAGGGCACAGGCTAAATGGGTCAGTGAGTCCTTGTGTACCCCTGGGAATATTTAGACCTGCCTCAGCATTCAGTCCTATTCTTTGGGATCACTCTGGAATTGGGTTAATCCTCTTACTGACTTCTCCAAAGGTGTTGGGACTCTTCTTTTTCCCTCTGGGCACTGACATAACTACCAAAAGGCCCTTCTCTACTGGGAGGACTTGGTGCTGTAGATGGTTTTAATGAAGCCAGGACCTTTGGGGCAATCCTGTTTCCTAGGCCATCGGTGCTCGGAACTTGCTCAAATCTATAGCAAAGCAGAGAGAAGCCCAACAGCAGCAACTGCAAGCTCTGATAGCAGAAAAGAAAATGCAGCTGGAAAGGTAAGAATCCTGGTGTAAAGCAGGTTCTGCCTCAATTGAAATTCTCTTCTTCCTGGGATGACCACCTTGTCTTTATTCTTCATTGTTTCCCAGTAGTAGCCTCTCACTGATAAGATTTTTAAAGTAGAATTAATTTGATGGGGTAGAAAGTTTAATATCCAGCGATCTCTAGTGGTTTGTACATGAAATTGCAAGCCACGGAGCTGTCTGGCTCCCTCAAAGGAGAAGCTTCTTAGGGCTGGAGATTTCTTGTGGGTGGCGTTGGTAGGGCTTTGCCTTTTAGCTTGATTTTTCTTTCTTGTTCAAACTTCTCTGTTCTCAACTCAAGCCATTTCTTGGAATCATTTAAACTTCTAGATTCTTCTCTAGAATTAAGCCAATGGTTCATTTTATCTTAAGGCTTCTAACAATTTTGTTTTTCAGGTATCGGGTTGAATATGAAGCTTTGTGTAAAGTAGAAGCAGAACAAAATGAATTTATTGACCAATTTATTTTTCAGAAATGAACTGAAAATTTCACTTTTATAGCAGGAAGGCAAACAGCCCCCCAAACCAAAAACCTCTGTACCATTCCAGTGACTTGACTCATGCCCTGTGTCACACGAGGTGGCGTGAGGAGCACAGGAAAGGCAGCCCTGCGGCCCAGGAGCTGCTCTGGCCAGGGCGTAGCACAGAGCTCACCGCTTGCATTCTTAATCAGAACAAGGCAGACTGTAAACTTATTTTTTGTAAATTCACAAAAGTTTGGAAGGAAAAGCAATAAATTATTGTTTAAAAAAAAGACTTTTGGCTGCTGCTATTGAAATGTATTTAACTCTTTATGAGAACCCTGGATTCCTTAGCCCTTTATCCACAAGACAGACCAGGCAGTGGTCAGATGCTACCTTTATTTGACCAGATGCACGAGTTAGACCAACACAGCTTGTGAGCAGAACAGGCAAAATCAGGGAATCAACCAGGACCTATTATTAGTAGTTTTTTTGTTATGATTTTTTTTTTTTGGAGTTTTTTTTTTTTTTTTTGCTATAGGGTGCATGCGCTTGCCAGACAGAGACATAGAGACAGAATGCGAGAAACCACCCCCCAGGGAGGATGGTCACGCCGCAATCCCTTCTCCTCCATTCTCCTCTCGGGATCTTGGGCACGCACGCACATGCGCCCCGCGTGAGTTTTAAGCCACCAGGTCTGGGACGCAAACCAGTCAGCTACGTGGGAGTCCAGCGACATAGCCATTATGCTAACTGCTGGTTCCCTGTTAGTAGTTTTTATAAAGGGTTGGCCTTGGGATCAGCAGTTGGCATAGTATCTATATCCTGGACTTGGTGGCCTAAACTCACACTGGGTGCATGTGCATGCCTGCCCAAGATCCCAAGAGGAAAATGGAGAAGGGAGGGATTGTGGTGTGGCCATCCCCTGCCCCGGGGTGGTGGTGGTGGTGATTTCTCACTTTGTCTTTCTGGTGAGTGCACGTGCCCTATAACAAAAAGGGTTGGCCTGTTACAGTTGTTAGCTAGCTGATGGGACACCAAGCAGCCATGGGAAGAGACCTCATCCATACACACTGGACATCTTATGCCCAGCTGCCCTCCACATCTGATAAATGGGGATGTTTAGGTTGGATATGATGGATGAAGTTATCCATTAGGGAGCAGACTTCTGGAGTGGGCTTGAGGTGCTAGACTTTAGGATAAAGGGACTAGTGTCAGGTCTAAAATACTGAAGACTGGGGCTGGCAGGTGGTGTGATAGTTAAGGGCGCTGGACTCCCACACAGCCAACAGCAGTTCAAGTCCCAGACCTGGTGGCTTATTTCTCTCTTTTGGTCACTCTGGTCAAATTAAAAAAAGTTAAATAAAATGATTTCTGAAAAAAATATGAAAGACAAAGATTTGGAAATAAGAGGATGACTGTGTGTGTGTGTGTGTGTGTGTGTGTGTGTGTGCGCGCGCGCGCGTGTGTACGCTTTTTCTTCCGGGTGAAAGTGGGGGCAAGAAAACATTGTAGTTTGGTTTAGTTTTTTTTGAAGAGTTTTTTATTTTGCCTTAGGGTGCCTGTGCTCACCAGAGACAGAGACAGTGAGAGGGAAAGTAAGTAATCAACCCCAGGGGGGATGGCCACGCCACAGTCCCTTCTGCATTCCCCTCCTGAGATTTTGGGCACATACACACATGTGCCTGGCCTGAGCTTCAAGCCACTATGTCCAGGTCAGCCATGTGAGAGAATCCAGCAACATAACTGCTATGCCATCTGCTAGCTCCCATCATGTATTTTAAATATATTTCAGGAAGCATACTCTCAAAATTTCGAATGGCCTGGAACACTCCCCTCTTCACTTTGCTAACGGGTGATGAACTAGAGAATCCTGAGTTGGGGCTGTCATATGTATCTGTGTTGTGGGACAAGTGAACATGCCTAGCAGGCCATGCTCATGCAAGTTTATTCTGGTTCTGCCTGGGCTGATTTTAGTCCTGCAGTGGGACGCAGGTGCAGACGAGACACTAGGCACCACTTCCCTGTCACCTTGCTCACACTCCTCTGTCCACCTCAGCTCATCAGGCCATTCATCCCCGTACCCTTAGAAGGTGAAGGATTGGCGGCTCTGCCGCCATTTTGCGTCGCTGCAGGGGTTCCAATTGCTACTGAGGATATGGGTTCTGAACAGTGTCCTTGTACTGGGTTCAACAGGCAGCTGCCTTGTGGCATCTCCCCTGGCTGGGCCAGTGGCGTTTCCCTTATTTTTTCTTTCTTTTCTCTTCATACTTGTAGTAGGGGTTCCGCAACATGAAAAGCAGGAGTACGAAAGGGATGAGTAAGTAGGGGGCGTAGACTGATACAAGGGCTAGTCGTTCACGCAAAGTCTCAGGTCTTTGTCCTTTGAAACCACTGGCTTTCGAGAAGTCCTCAACTAGAATCGTGGAGAGAATTGGAATTAAAGCTGTGATGGTGTGAACTGCGTAGATGATTGCAGGGATGCGGATCCACCTACAGCTTCCTGAAGTAGTTAGAGGAAGAGAAAACAGTAACAGTTAGGACTGTCATGACTCCAAGGCTGTGTGACATTCTCCACCCTGTCTCTGTTGGTCTGCTCCCTTCAGCCAATCACTCCACCACCTACTCCAAGTGGAAACTTACAACAAATGGAAACTAGAATGTGCTGCCCAACGTGCCCACTGAAGCGATGGCCAGGACCCCAGGTTGCCAAGGGCGGGCATAACTCAGAAAAACCCTTGGGTAAAAAACTGCCTATACCAGCTAAACCTGTGCAGATGGTCTAAAATGCAAGAGGTGGTCGAATTCCCACCCCATGCATCTGTTAAGTAATATATAAGTGAAGGGACCAAAAGATGATCCTGGACTCTGGGGGACTCCAGGAGGAAAGAAGCATTTTCAGCTGCACAAGCTTAGTTACCAAGCACATAGGTTCAGCCACTTTCCTTAAAAAGCAGTAACTGAAGCCAGCTGGTGGCATGGTAGCTAGGGGTGCTGGACTCCCACATGGCATGAGTCCCAGACCTGGTGGCTTGCTTTCTCACTTTCCCTCCCTCTTTCTCTTTCTATCACTCTGTCCCTTTCTGGTCACATTTAAAATAAATAAATAAAAAGTCAAATAAAATAATTCTTTAAAAAATAAACATTTATGACTTTCAAAGGAGAAATTCACCCTTCAGGGATTAAATTGATGTACTGCTTATTGGTTAGTACGATACTATCCAAAGCAGGAAAATACAACTATAAACTATACAACTAATTCTGTGGAGGAAAACCCAAGAGGGAAAAAAGCTCATTGTTTTAAGCGGCCTCAGGTTTCAGATGTATGAGGGGTTTCCAGAGAACCGAGGCAGCCTGGCAGCCGCTGACCACACGGGTCAGCCTGAGCCACATTAACGTCCCCCTGCAGGAACTACTCGAGCCATTTCCACCAGATCCTGCGGTGCCCGCACACAAACCACAGGGACCACTCTCTTCTGCTCCCCCCTGAAGGTACTTTCCCCGAAGATTTCTGGAGCCTGATTTCTAAGCAAATTCCCCATCATTTACCAACCTTTAAAGAAGGCATATGTTGCAAAGGGAAAGAAAGGCAGCTGAAACACCAGCTCGCAGAGCAGGAAGGACTTAAACCACGCTGGGGGATCCTGGAGCAGAGGGTCCCTGAACTCCTTCGCATACCACTTCAGCAGGTTTCTAAACTAAAAGAAGATAATGACCGTGAGGAACTGAGGAACTCCAGCTGCCGGGCAGGCCACCTTCCTTGAGGAGACACTGAAGAGACTCATTATCCAGTCCTGGGGGCAGGGCCTGCTCAGCACCCCCAGCTGGCTTTGTGATCTGGCCTCCATGGTCAGTTAACAAAAACTCATTCCTAGCTCCAGGAGAACAGGCATCCAGGTCAAGCAGTAGTCACTTGCAGGGTGCTCACCCAATGAGCGAATGTGACATATATACGACAAATGCCATTTCTTGCAAAGAAATGACAAATGTGAGGCCAGCCGCCGTGGTGGTTAAGGTGGCTAGATTCCATATTACTGACCACACAGTTCGAGTCCCAGACTGGCAGCTAGAGAAACACATTGGATGCATATGTACATGTGCCCAAAATCTCAAAAGGAGAGAGAGAGGAAAAGGGATTGCAGCATGATCATCTCCTATTGGCCTGGCGTGTGTGTGTATGTGTGCACTTTCTCACTCTCTGTCTCTTTTTAGCAAGTGCATGTACCCAAGCCCTCTGGCAAATTAACAAAAAAAAAAACATAAAAAAACTATCCTGTTTTTCCTTTCACAACACCAACTGTACAACAAACTCCAAAGGAAAAATTCTCACAAATATAAACATGGGGCCAGCAGATGGCAGAGAAATTGGGGTGGCTGGATCCCACATGGCCAGCTGTGTGGTGATTTGAGTCCTGGCACAGTGGCTTGAAAAACACGCTGGTATGTGTGTGTGCATGCCCCCCAAAACACCCTGAGAGTGAATGTGGCATGGCCATCCCCTGGGGGGTGAATCCTCACTCTCCTACCTCCACCTTTCTCCAGCAAGTGCATGTACTACCTACAGCGAATTAAAACAAAACAAATACAAGCATGAATTTAACGTCCTTTATTCTGGTCGGGGGAAGGTGTAGGTAGAAGGGGCGATAAATCTAACCTCTGTAGAAATGGAATTTGGACACTAACTCCAATAAAACAAATAAATTCCTCATGTCTATGCCCTCTAATTCTATTTCGTTCTTTTAGGAGATCAGTAGGATATTTATAGAAGAAAAACTGTCCTAAACTACAAACTATAAAGCTTCTAGGCCACACAAGGCTTGAGAGTGGTCTCAACTCTAGCTTGGGCCCAGCCTTCTGACTACCTCATCAAATAAGAGGCAGCTGCACACTGACATGGTTACTGCCCGCTGTGCTCTCCTAGGAGCCCAAGGCCTAGGCTGCACAGGGCCTCCTGGAGGTGGCACTGTGCTCACACACATGCCTTCAGAGCCAAACTGATGTCTTCATCTTTGACTAGAGGCCACTCCAAGGTAAGAATTTATCTTAAAATGGAAAAGCCAAGGATATTTCTCCTGCTAATGTTTAATCCAAAGATAAAGGCTCACTGTGGTGAAACGGAGGCCTCATGACTGCAGGCAGCTTTAAGCAAATATCTAGAAACAAACAGTCTGTTAGAATAATACTCATTTCGGAAAGGCTCTGGCCAGATGACCAATTTATTGACCAAGTGATCTCTAATTTGTTTTCAATTGGAAATTTAAATTCCTGGCATAACCTTTACTTCCCCCTCCTTCTGCACTTTTCAGGACAGTAATGGGCTAGGAAATACTCATCAAGGTTAAGTCACTGCCCTCCAAGGCTGTTTCCTCATCTGTAAGATGAACAACTTGGGCCAAATGCTTTATGATCCTTTTTTGCTTTTTAGATTTACGTTTTTTTTTTTTTAAAGAATTACTTAATTGTATTTATTTATTCTTTCACGTTAGTTTGACGAGAGAGAGAGAGAGAGAGAGAGAGAGCGAGCAAGCAAGAGCGAGCGAGTGCGCATGAGAGCAAGCCACCAGGTCCGGGACTCGAACTGTGGTCGGCCATGTGGGAGTGTCCAGCACCTTAACCACCACACCACCTGCAGGTCCCCTCATTCTGGTGAGCACACATGCCCTGTAGCTAATTTAAAAGAGGGGGGAAAACCTGCCAGATGGTGGCATAGCAGTAACGCAAGGGGATCTACACGGCATGGTCCCAGGTTCATGTCCTGGGGCCTCCTTCTATGTATGTGCCAGGGTGTGTATATGTGCCCGTGACTGTGATCTGGTCTGGCTGAAGCTGGGAGTGAACTGCAGAGTAAGACCTTGTTGGAAGCGCTGCCTTTTACACGGGAAGAATAAACTAAAAAAAAAAGGTTGACTACAATATTTAAAAGACATTCCGGTTCATCTGAACATTAATTACTTTGTACTTAATTCATATACAATGTCTCAGACCTACCTACTTCACAGATCCAGGCTGACTTGTATAGCACTGGAATTTCTAAAGGCTGCAGGATGAGATCAGAATTAAATCTAACCAGCCCACTGTGCTAGGAGCCACCCACCCACCCACCTGCCCAGTCATACACGATACCTGGTGCCAGAGCGAGGCGTGGGCTTGGGGCGGGTGAAGAGAAGGCCCAGGCGCCCAGCAGAGTGTTGAGGAATAGGGTTTTGGGGCAGAATGCTGGCTTGGCCAGGCCCTTAATCCCCTACATGAGAGATAGTACCTGCCTCACTGCTGGTAAGATAAGAGTTAATAAGTCCAGTTTCTAGAACAATAGCTAGGGACATACAAATTATTTAATTGATTATAATCAATATACTTAAAAAATTTTTAGCTTCTTTAAAAAAAGAATTTATTTTATTTTTATTTATTTATTTTAAAGAATTATTTGATTTAACTTCATTTATTTTTTAATTTGACTACAGAGGGACAGACCCAGAGAGAAAGAGAGAAAAGTGAGAAAGCAAGCTGCAAGGTCCGGGACTTGAACCATGGTCAGCCATTTGGGAGTCCAGTGCCCTTAACCACTATGCCACCTGCCAGCCTCAAGAATTATCTTATTTAACTTTATTTATTTTAATTTGACCAGAGAGGGACAGAATGAGAGAGAGAGAAAGAGAGAGAGAGCGAGCGAGTGAGCGAGCGAGCATGCACGAGTGAGTGAGCAGTTAAGTGAGAAAGGAAACCGCCAGGTCCAGGACTTAAACTTTGGTTGGCCACATGGGAGTCCGGTGCCCCTAATCACCATGCCACCTGCTGGCCCCATAATTAACATACTTAGACATGGTCAAGTTTAATTCTACTAAAATCTCAGCATGCAACTGGCCACTCATAATGATTTAAGACCTCCCAAAAGGCAATAAAGCTGATTCCAGTTTTACCTGACACACACTGGACTCAGCTCACCAGTGTTATCCAGTAAAAGTCCACATGGCAAAAAATTATTTTATTAAACTTTATTTAATTTAATTAACTAACTTTAATTTGACCAGAGAGGGAAAAGCTGCCAGGTCTGGCTTTCTCGAACTGCAGTCGGCCACGTGGGAGTCCAGCACCTTAGACACCATGCTACCTGCCGGCCCCAGCACAGGGCTTTCTAAACCAGAGTGCGCAGTTAAGTCTGGACTTGGTGGCCTGAAAAACATGCCGGGTGCATGTGCATACGTGCCCCAAATCCTGACAGGAGAATGGAGAAGGGATTGTGGCATGGCCATCCCCCATGGGGGGTGATTTCTCACGTTCTCTCTCTGGCAGGCACGCATGCACCCTCTAGCAAATTTAAATTAAAAAAAAAAAAGGAAAGAAAAGGGAATGGAGGCACATGCTTTCCAAGTCAGGATGCCCCAGCGTCATCAAACAGTTTCTGGCTGGATCCTGCCTGCACTGACCCTTGTTTTTTGTGCTAAGTCAACATTAAAAAAAAAATAAAGCTGGGAAAATTTTACGCTATCAAATATATACATTTAAGTGGTCTTTATACACTGGGCACATTTTTTAATTGTAATTTGGGACTGGTGAGCAAGGAGACTTGGGTGAATGGCACCACCAGAAAGGATTAAAGAACAGCTGTGAAGTCTGGCATGGCCACATGGAATAACACACTAATTACCAAGTAGTAAAGGAACCCTACATGAGAGAGACAGTAAACAGGAAGCCTGCCAGAGTCCTTCTGGCCACACAGCTTTCCAAACCACACATATGGCAACACAGCCTCCCCTGTGTTCTGAGCGGTCTAGTGCAGAGCTCTTAGGAGAGTTTGTATTATCTGTGTGGTAGCCCGATGAACAGTCCCTAGGATATCCGTGTCCTAATCCCTGGAGCCTATGACGGCTACTTGATTTGACAAAAGCCTTTTGCAGATGTGATTAAGTTCAGGATCTGGAGATGGGGAGAGTGCCGGGTTCCCTGGTAACTCCTAAATGCATTTCAGGTGTCCTAGCAAAAGTGAGGCAGCAGGAGATTTGACTACAGAAGAAAAGACGGCAATGTGATGACCTGCCACCAAGAAAGACATGATGAGGCCACAAGAAACACTGGTGACCACCAGAAACTGAAGGGGGAAGTGAAAGAGTCTCCCCTGTGACTTTCAGAAGGAACAAATCCTGAGGACACCTTGGTTTTAGCCCCATCCGGTTCATTTCAGACTTCTGGCCTCCAGAACTGTAAAACAACAAATTTCTCTTAAGTCACCATCTGTGGTAATTTGTTACAGCAGCAGTGGTTAACTCATACACCTGTGTATGTCTGCACTTGTAAATCAACCCAACTCTCTGACTGACAGTTGATGTCACAAAGCCTGACTTGCCCAAGACCCCAGTCAGTAACTTGTTAGAACCAAGTTCTCAGACGGCAGTCCAAAACTCTTGCCACAAAGTACCCATGCTTTTCCCATGGAAAAAGAGATTGCTGGTGTTCCCTGCTCAGTTTAGTGAGAGAAACAAACAATAAAAGGAGACTCAAATGGGAGAGGGAGGTGTTGTTGGGCAGTGATTCTTAACTTTTCTGAGGGGGTTAAACCAATGGCAGCTGATAGAAGCCACGAATTTTCCTTCCAGGAAACACAAAGCCAGCATAGGTTTGCATACACTGTTGGGAATGCATGGAGCTAAAAGGAAAAATCCTAGACAAAAAACATTTAAGGTTAAACAGAAGCATAACAAATCTTTAATAAAAAAGTCAGTCTTGGCCCACAGTTCTTCTTTTTTTTTTTTCGGAGAGTTTTTTTTTTTGCTATAGGGCGCGTGCGCTCGCCAGACAGAGAGACATAGAGACAGAAAGCGAGAAATCACCCCCCAGGGGGGATGGTCACGCCACAATCCCTTCTTTCAGGATCTTGGGCACGCATGCATACGCGCCCGGCGTGAGTTTTAAGCCACGGTCCGGGACGCGAACCCCGGTCGACTACGTGGGAGTCCAGCGACATGGCCATCACGCCAACTGCTGGTTCCCTTGGCCCACAGTTCTACACACAGAACTGAGGACAGGAGTTCCAAGGAAAAAGGTTACAGGGTCCAGATAAGGGGAGAGAGGGGGAGACTGCAGCTTTTAAAGAAAAAAGAAAAAGTACTAAAACAGTTTGGGTAAGGCATGCTCTCCAATTACCAGAAAATGGGGCTTTTCTCCTTTCTTTCTACCTGGGTGATCATTCTATCTCGAAGCCAATGAAAAGGCCGTATGAAAAGGTGTCATGATCTCACTGCTGAGCTTGTGAAGGTGGTGGCTCCTGATCATGAAGTGCAGATGGGTGAATGCCCGCGCTGCGCCAAGCACGGTGCAAAACCTTTAAAAGACAGGTCTAATCCCACACGTATTTTTGCTTTGAGATTAGACTAGTATTTTCAAACCTTTACAAAAAACCCACAACTTTATAACAAATCCAACATGTGATTTTAGACATCCCTCGCACACCGACAACTGACCAGAGCTGGGACTGCAGGAGTCGTAAACATACCCTGGGCAGAAATGGCCTTAACAGGAACAAAGAGTTTGCCTCCTGCACCTCGCGAAGGGTCTGGGACAGAGAAAGCCCAAGGAAGACGTCGAGCGCAAGTCAGCGAAGGAGGGGGCCGGAGTACGCGCGAGCTCCAAAGGAGGGAGGGAAACTCGGGGTGGGGACGACGGCCCTCAAACTCAGCGACTAGCGGACGGGACCGACCTGGGGAGCCCCTCACCTCAACCGGGTAGAGTTCGGCCGGCAGCACCAGTTGCATGTCCAAGAACAGGGTGATGGGGATGTGGCAGAGGAAGTAGAGGCCCAACAGCCACTCTACGCAGCGCCTGGAGCTCAGAACCCCCATCGCTCGTCTGCTGGGCAGGCGGGAGGCGCGCTCGCTGGGACCAGAAGACGTGGGAAGAGCGAAGGGTACCGCGCGCGGTCTCGGGGCTCCGCGCCCCGGCCGTCGCTCCGCCCCCTACAGGCCTACGCTGGCTGCTCCTATTGGCTGGCGGAGAAGCAGGGCGATCGGGAGGGGG